TTCTTTGGGACCAAATACATTTTCTACAAGTTGAACTTGAGGCCCCAAAAAGGTAATTCATCACTGATATGCTTGATCCCATCATTCGAGACCTCGACCTATAAATCTCAATATGTTCTTCGCGCAACAACCCACTTCCTGTCGCCTGAAAATACACGCTTATAGTTATGAAGATATTATGATGCATACAACGAGAAATCAAATAAAAGGACCGCAAAAGGACCGCAATTGTGTGTATTTGTACTAACTTACCACTTTGACAGTAGGCTTCGCTGACTCATTGATTAAATCGAGGACTACAATGAGCAGAAACCATACTGACAATACTGCAAAACACATATGGGGACTATGCCTATGCTCATTGTGCATTGTTGGAATATCAAGCTGAATTCCCACGGTTCCGCCGGGCGCGTAATTCACCCGACATGCTTACGAGCCGAGGTTGAACTTACCAAGCATTAGTGAGGCATTCAGAATATTCTAGATGTATTGTAGAGCATAAATCCCTGTAATATGTTCTGTAGTAATACAGTTTGTTCTTTTACTGTTCATCAGAAGTGAACATTCTCACATACATAACATGTTCATCATTGGATTTACGCTGCAGCGGAAATTTGAACGAGGGCTGTTAGAAACTCTGCTGACCCCCCGTCGTATGCCATGACGGTACTTGTTTCGCGGTCTCGCATAATAATTTCATACTGCTCAGCAGCGCCGGACATATGGGCGACGCGAGAAACCGCAGCGCGGATGGCAAGCAATGCGCGGCTCGGAAGCTCCGGGGTGGCCTTTTTTTGTGCGAGGCATTCAGCAGCGAAGTTAGGGTTGACGGTGAAGGTGACGCGGCGCCGGGGGCGTTGGACCATGGTCCAAAGAATGGGGTCCGCCGCCACAACATCGTAGGTATTGGGCTGTAAAAATGTTCATCAGAGAAAATTGGGAAGGATGATAGAAAGACACACTTGGCCCTCGACCTCTTCAAACCAAAACCCTAACTCATCCCACTCGTGGTGTAGCTCGGTGTCCATTGTAACCACGTTGTGGAGGGTGTTAGCGCCGCTTCCAATAAGCGAGCTGACATCGAAATTGAACATCTTCAGAATTGACACAGCCGCCGCATAATCCGTCTTATCGGTCTTGAAACAAGATAAGAAATAGAAGCGGTATGGATTTTCCGCAAAGCTGACCTTTGCGTCGTTGTCCTGCGCGGACTCCGAAAATATGTGGCAGCATTGGGTTTCACACGTTACAGCATTCCCCGGGAATCCAGTAGGGATCGCTCGGTACGAAGCCTTGTCGATCAAACCCGAAACGACACATTTGAAGCCATCACGCGCCAGAGCCTGGAAAGGTGTTCGATGCAACACAACATATAGGAGGACGCATACCGGCTGTTTGATAGCGGGTTTAGACTTGTCAGCCTCCTTGATTTGCTGCACTATCCCGGCCACCAGCGAATCCATGGATGGACGGGAAGGGTGTTGCGATGTTTTGGCCGACAAACTGCCATGTGCGCGGACTGACAGAGGGTTATTGCTGCATTCTGAGAAATTTAAACCCACCCACAGACACGCATCAGGTGTTTTTGGTAATGTATCCCTAACTCTGATATTGTCTCACAGCACGCTACGATCTCCGTTCGGGACGCGGTGCTAGACGGAAGTGCTTGGTACGATTTGATTTGCTTGAGAAGAGTATGGTATGGTGAGCTGCCGCCGGTGAGATAATTTCCACGAGCTTTCCAAAATTCGGATAAAAAGTGTCCGACAACGCGGACCCCGGCCAAGAGGGTCTTGAGCTGTGAGTTTTCGGTTTCTTGGATCATCACCTGCTCGGCAGTGAGAAGAATGCTCCACACGCTAACACCATCTGCGTCGAAGGCAACATCGGCGGCTGGCAGTGCGGAGAGAGATGTAATGGAGACCATTGCTTTATGACTGACCGCGAGAAGGAGGAATAGGGGAAAGTTGAGCTGTCATGCCGTCATCGTTTTGTACACCGAGCGCCTTGGATCCAAACAACGCGTCCCGCTCTCTGCCACCGGCAGTCACTACTTACCGTCGCGTCCGCGGTGCAACCCGGGGCCTATTACTAGACGGCACGATTGGGCTCCGTAACATTCGCTCCATTCAATTCCCAAATCTCACACTGCATGGGTGCCAATTGTGGGCTTTCTGCACCGTGAACAAATCGTGAATTTTCTGTGAAGTCTTTGGGGCTTGTTTCCTCAGTTTTGCTATAAAATTCTGATTCTGATGCTGATGCTTCCCGAGCTTGCATTCACTTCAAGTTCGCCCGTTCCCAACTTTGGTCCCATTCAAGTCTTCTTTGAATCTACCGTCTGATTGTCTGTCGCGTAAACGGCCGAGGGCTCACCCGCAGTTCGTCTCCGCAGGTCTCCGCCCAGATGCATAGCCGATTCAAGTTTCTGCGTCCCATCGAAATGACCGCCTATAAGCACCTACCGCATCCCATATCTTCCGCTGACTTGAGCGCATTTCTTCCCTTTAAGGCCTCTACGCCTCTACGCACCACCGTATTATCGCTGCTCAAACCGTCGGTCCGCTCCACCGAAAACTTTGCTTGAGGCCCTAAAAAGGCAATCAATCGCTGATGCGATAGTTGATGCCATCACGAAGCTTGAGTCTCTCACTACGTACAAGGTCTTCAGAACGATGACCTTAGAACCACCGAACGTCGCTTGATGCGCTTTACTAAAGATTTGTGGGGAGGTAATTAACTTACATTAGGTAGCTTATCGATAGGAACTTGCGGCGATTCAGGTACCTCATTCTACGGTTGAACAGAACTTTCTAAGCTCAATCCGGCAAATAACATCCGATAACACCAGTTCTGGAACCATAAGCGAGTTGATCGGGTCCTTTCGGGTGGCGGGTGGCGGGCTTCGCGGCAGAGCAAATTTTCTTCTTTGATTCAGTGGAACGGACATCTTGAGCGACATACCAGCTGCCATGGTCGACGTCTACCTCCGCCACAAAATTTTTTGACGCGAAAGAATGGGGAAGTTTTGGACTTAAAATAAAAGGTAGTGCGAGAATGGAAAGTTAATCAATGAAGTGGCGAAAGAAGGGGGAATTCGGCGCATTTTTTTATGCTCAAAATTCTGGAAATAAGTGACGGAGGTCCCAAATTTTGGGGTAAAATGGTGGGACCGAATGAAAGTGTAGGAATAACGTACATTTGGACCGCCACAAGCACCTCCGTTTCCAAACGGCAGCCAATAAATTACCTAAGAATACTGGGTATATATAAGAGGAGACAGGCCCGCTCGACCACGGTGTAATATTTCACTAACGTGTTGAAACATTGTCGAGCCTCGAAGATGTCGACCCCGGGCGAGCATCTCAGTCATGATGCACATGTCTATGTTGGGTTGCCGGTTAGTCTCTCATTGCGAACTGGAAGCGGTCCAAGACTCATATACGGGTGCATCCAGCCTGCGGACGATCTCACCCGGTAGGGAGACGGTTCCACCTCTGCGTTAGTTCAACTCAGGCCGAAGAATGCTTAAGCCTAGATGCGATGCATGAAGCGGTCAGCCAGTACTTCGGTGGTCAGCTCGGGCCAGCCCCCTTAACCGGGCTGTATCCGAACAAAATCATAGATTTGGGGTACGCGGCTATAACTCGATTGGCGAGTCTAACTGATGTGGGTGCAGATGTGGGAGCGGCGCATGGTCGGAGAATATCAAATGTAACCAAGAAAACTTGACAAACTTTCTGCAGGGCCATCCAAGCTGCACGGCAATTTCCCCGTGCGCAAATCCTGGCAGTGGACCAATTTCCACTACCAAATCGGTGGGTGTCCAATACTATGTTGTGGCGTCGGCGAATTGAATCGAATTTGGAAGAATCCTCCCTGCGAACGTGAACTTCCAACTAGCAGAACTGACGAAGGGGCTAGAATTCGAACCAGAAACATTCGATATTGTTCATGCTCGCATGGTGATGACACATGTCCGTTCACTTTTCCATGCTACGTTGAAGCTGAACGATAAGACAAAGGTCGTGGACGGGCCTGAGGTTCTTCACCGTGCCTCACGGCTAGTGAAACCAGGGGGTCTACTTCTCATAGAAGACATAGATCTCGTTAGTCTCACAGAGTCCGGAGGCTCAGCAACCCGTCAAATTATACAAAAAATCACCGGAATCCAGGATAGTCTCGGAGTAGACGTGGAGCTTGGAAGGAAGATCGAGGCCATCATCGTGTCATTTGGCGATTTTTCGGAAGTCCAAGTCGAGAAACTATCCATGCCATTTGGCGCAAATGGGCCGGGTAGGTGGTTGACGTTTGGATAGAAGATCCTCCTAACTACATTTTATCCAGTCGAGGCCCTAAATCAGCTTGGTTCGGGGATGAAGAAATCATTTTCGACAATGTTTGGGACCTTCCCGAATCGTTTCCACGACCAAGGCATTACTCAGGAATTAGTCCGACAGTATAATGAGGACCAGGAGCAGAGTGACAACAAGTCGGCGATGGACATGTATTTCTGTTGGGCTCGTCGTTCCCTGAAGTAGACCAACCATTAATGTAATACAGTTCTGGGCTTGTCAAACTCACAAGCTTTCACTCAGCATCTGGCAGCCAGTTTGAGGGTTGACATCTGTTGCCTTCTTCTTTCTTGAATTATTTTTGTAGTTTTCCTACTACGCAATATAAGTAGTACATACATATTTATCGCCTGTAAATGCATGCATGATTCAGATCTAGAGTACCAGAGGGATTACGAACAGCAGCTGACAGGTATACGTGAAGTAGATCAGATCAGAAATCGCATCAGCGTGCCCTGCTTGTGTGTGTTATGGCTTTGGTTGTCTCTCCCGAACAGACACGAGTGGAGTGCTTATGCAAGTACGGCCCAGAGAGCACTGATAACACAAAAATAGTTTTCGCTAATCATTCCAACGCCTACCTCCGTCTGAATCAAATCGAAATCACTCCAGAGCGGACGAACTAACCCTCGATTTTCTTTCCACGGGCATATGGTGTAGTTGGTTATCACGCTCGCTTAGCACTGTGTCTAGGCCCGAAGTTCCATGCGAGAGGTCTTCGGTTCAACTCCGAATATGTCCAGTTTTTGGCCAATGCTTTCATTCATCGTTGCCTGGCCTATGTATGCGGGACCTGAGACAGTCGAGGCGGGACTCATACATAGCTGATACATACATCCGACTTTGATTTCGAATCCACTCGAGTTTCCTGTCCGACTTGCATAAATCGTCCACCGCACCCAACTCATCGAAAAATCATTCCTTCACATGCTATAAGTATGCAAGTACCAACAAACAAACTACTACTATGTAGCCAGCAGACTTTAAACTTTAAGCAGACAAACAAAACAACAGCGGAAGCTCGCTAAATTAGAATTGGAACAGCATCGGAACACGTGGAAAAATCGTAGAGGAAACAGATGGAAAAAAAAGGGGAACGGGGGAGGGAGTATGTATGTATGTATGTACATGGTACAGCATGGTGCATTAAGTGTAGTGGTTTCGTAGGCGTAGTCGGGCTAGTCGTAGTCGTAGGTAGGACAGACAGACAGATGTAAAGAAACTCATATATGGACGCAGAAAGGGAAGGGAAGGGAGCAAGAAGACATGGGCAGGTGAGAATGAGAATGAGAATGAAAAAAAAACCCCGGCACGACAACACACAGCGGCATCTCCCCCGTGCTCCAAGGAGTGCGCCGCGTCCAAGAGAGGCTTGGACGCGCGCACTCCGACCTAAGGTGGGGGCCGTGTCGCGATGTCGATGGTCGATGAAGGCAAGGAGGATGGATCAAGTGGAATAAGTAAAGCGGAGGAAAATATAGATCGTTCGTTCGTTCTCGGTGTGGTGTTCGTGCTTGATATGGGCCTGGGGATGGGATGGGATGGGATGGGATGCGGGGATGGGATGGGATGAGATGGGGGTGGTGATACATTCGTGCGTGCGTACGTGCGTTGAGAGTTGGAGTTGGGTTCCGGGGAGGTACAACAGGTCGATTCGAGATTCGAGATTCGAGGCGGATAGATAGGAAGGATAGAACTGAAGCGGAACGGGAGAAGGAATGAGGAAATTCTAAGGCTTCTCGGGATCGGGGTCGGGGTCGGTCGGTCGGGCTCAGGGACAATTTGCAGCAGCTCCGCCAAGGTTGACGTTGAGGTGGCTGCACCCGGCCGACGCGGGGGCACCACCTCAACTCTGCTGCTGCTGCTGCTGCGCCCGCACACCTCAACCCCACCTCAACTCACCAAATCGATCCCCGCCCCGAGGCCCTGGCCCTCCCGATGTGCGTGTCCCTCCCTTTCCCGTTCCCGTCCCGCGCCCGGCATCTGCATCCCAGCGTGGATCTCCCTCCCCATCCCACTCCCATCCCACTCCCCACACCCGGTTCCGCCCCCGTCCCCACACCGCCCCCGCCCATCGCCGCCATCTGCGCCTGCACGCGCATCTGCTCCTCCTCAAACAGCTTCCGCCCCACGTCCGCGCGGAGCCCGCCCGTTTTCGGCTGCGTCTGCGTCTGCGTCTGCATCGGCGCGTGCGGAGGCTGTTGAGCAAGGGGCTGGGGCTGCGGCTGCGGCGCAGCCCCGGGGCCGGGCGAGGGCGCGGGCGACGCGTGCAGAAAGTCGGCAAAGTTGAAATTATCCTGCCCTCCTTGTGCTTGCCTTGCTGCTGTACCTGCGCGACTGGCGGCGGTACCTGCGTCGGCGGCGGCGGCGGCGGGTGGCTCGTAGACGCAGACGCGGAAGCAGGAGGAGACGTCACCCGCTCCTGCGTCGCCTGCTGTATCGGCGGCACCGGCACGCCATACACCGCCTCGGCGTCGGCGTCGCAGGCCTTGCGACCGGGAGCGGGAGCGGCGGCGGTGGGAGGAGGCCTTGTCCTGCTTGCGGCTGCGACGTCCCCCCAGGTTGAGACCCCGAAGGAGGCTGAGAGGGCTGCGACCCCGGCGTCGGCGTGCCCCCCCTCGACAGCGGCCCCCCAATACTCACACTCGACACGCTGCTCGTGAAGCTCTCCCCGCCGCTTCTCGCTAACCCACCCAACCCGCCGCCCAATCCTGTCAGCACACCGCCCCCGAGCTCGCCCGCACTCGGGAAGAGGACGCGCCCGAATCCCTTCGTCTTGCCCCCCGCGCCGCCGGGTGCCAAGGAACTCGACGCGTGCAACGCGCGGAACGCCTCCCGATCCCGCTCGCGCTCGCGGCGCACAGGGGACGGACTCGTCGCGAGGAAGAGCATGAGGTCCGCGGCCTCGTTGTCCGTCGGCGCGGGGCGCGGTGTCGTTTGGTCGCCTGCTTGAGACTGAGACTGAGACGCACTATGCCGCGGCTGTTGCGAATGATTGGACGCCTGCGAACTCGGCTGCGTCGGCGGGGGCGTCGCGCTCGCGCGGCGCAGCTCGGGCTGCGGCTGCGGCGTGCCCCCGTGGCGTGCAGAGCTCTGCGTAAAGTGGCCGGAACGCGCGTAGTCCGCGTGCTCCTCGTCCGCGTCGAGGCTGCTGCGCGGGGACTCGCCCGAGCCGACGCTGGGCCGGTGCCCGAGCAGCAGGTGGGTGAGGGTCTCCGCGGCCTTCATGTCGACGTCGCCGTCGCCGTCCACGTCGTGGTGGCGCGACGAGCGGTGGGCGCGCGCCTTGCCCTTGTCCGCTGCGCGTTTGGACTGGGATGCGCGTGGTTTTGAGGACGACGCGGCGGCCTTGTCGGGGTGGCGTGTCTTGCTGCTGCTCGAGGGCTTGCTCGTCCGTTGGCGGGAGGACCCGTGGGCGTGGTGGGAGTGGGATTGCGGGGACGGCGGAGGGCGGGACGGGGGCGGGACGGGGGGGTCGGCGGAGTTGAGGATGGTGCGCGCGGGCTGGGTCGGGGGCGGCGCGAGGATACTCGTGAAAAGGCTCTGCGGGGGACGCGCGCCGGTCTCGGGGCCGCCGCCGCCCGCGTTCGGGGCGTAGTAGCGCATCGGGCCGCCCTGGGGCGGAGGCATCGTCCCTGCGCGCCTGAGGGGGATCCTGCGCCCTGTGTTGCGGGGTTATTGTAGTAGTTGTTGTTGCCTGGAGGTAAAGAGGCCATTGCTGCGGCGGAGGCCTTGCGCTTTGCGGCCATGGTGCGGGAGATGATATGTGCTTGGGTCTGGCTCTGGGCCTCGAGCTCGCGGAGGGGCACGTGTGCGAGGTTGTGGGTGGCCTTGTAGGAGGCATACGAGAGGCGGGCGCGGAGGCTGCGGGTGACCTAGACAGCCCCTCTTAGCAACGACGGGGCGCGCGACGGACGCGTGCTTACGTTGGAGATCTCTGCGCGGGCCTTGAACTTCTCGACGGCGCGCTTGCGGTGGTCGCCCTCGGGCAGGTCAGTGTCCATGTTGCCGCTGAGGGGCGGGGAAAAGGCGAGGGTGGGCGACGGCGACGTGGCCGAGGAGGAGGGCGTCGCCATTGCGGTCGACAACGAGTGCGCAGTGAGCAAAGCCTGCTGGTCGCTGGATGTCCTAGCGAGCAGGGAGGTCAATTCGTCGGTGCGGATTGGTGGGCAGTGTCAAGTAAGGCGCGTCGTCGCGTCGCCCCAAAACACGGCATCTTCCGGCCTTCCCCTGTCACACACAAATAACCCCGCACTTGTAATTCTTCTGTTTCGCGCGCACTCGTAGCCACACACTTCGTACACGCTACTCTAGTCTACGTGCTGCCCACTACTGCTCTTCGCTGGCTGCTGCTCGCGCTCGCGCAATTATCGCTGCAAGTAATTTGAATCAGATGATCAGTCGCCGTGACATCAGCCCTCGCGCGTCTCCCACAACCCGGCCCATGTGCTCACCGTCGCGGTTCTTACCCGCCGGAGTAGCCACGCCATTGCCTTATCCTGTTTTCCCATTCCCATATACATCCTCGCTTCGTGTTCGTCCGAGCACGTCTCCCTAGTCTGCGCAGGTTTCTTGCACAAGCCTCGGCACATCTCTACTCCCGCGCCGTATCCGCGCCCGGCGGCGGACCTTGCAACTTGGTGTCACTTGTCCTCTTGGGGTTGCTGACAGCTTATTCCGCCACAACACTGTCCCATTACGGCCTCCGAACCTCCCATATCCGTCCTTACCTCCGTGCTTCCAAGTTCCAGTCCCAGTCCTCCTTCCCCAATTGTCCTTCTCGGCCCCCGTCTTCTCGTTTTCGTCCCCGTTCTCCCGCTCTCTACCCTGTCTGTCTGCCTGTCCGTCTTCTGCCCTTGTCCTGAACCTTGTGCCTCTGCCAAACGCGCGCCGTCATCCCGCTCCGAGCATGCCCGTCTGATAGACCCTCTCCTGTATACTGTATCATCCTCCGAGTCACCCACCCTTCCTCCGCTTCTCCCCGAACAAACTCTATCAACGAACACTGATTGTCTTTCTCGAAAGCTTTCATCCGCCGTCTGATTCCACATACTCCGAAATGGCCACGCCGGCCAAAGCGCCTTAATGGCCCAAATTCTCCCGCGGCCCGGTCTTAGCGCCCGTTCTCCGTTCTCCGTTCTCCGTTCTCCGTCCGACACCGCCTCCGCTGCAGTAGGTCCCGCACGTCCCGCCCCGCATTTCATTCTCAAAATTAACACAATCCATAACCCATAATCCCATATCCAGCATCTTCCGACGCCACTAATTATCCCGCCGGGGGACGTTCCATTATGCCATACTTATCCCACACCCAAACTCGGAAGATCACTCGTCATGGCTTAATTGCAAGACAAAAGAAAGAAACTCCGCGGATCAACGGACAGCCCTGGTGGGCGCCTGTGGACCGTTGTCGGAATATAAACCGACTGTACCGTGACATACTGAGCCCCATCTCTCTTTCAAGTTCTCCCTTGGTCTGCCGCTTCAACGACACTATCCGCTCCAACCCGAGGCATCACCAATACAATACATCCATCAGTACATGCATATCCATATCCGGCCTCGCCCCGCTCCGCTTGTAGGTCCCCGCGTCTGCATTTCATTTTCATCAAGACATGGAGACGAGTACTGTATGTATGTTCAAATGGTCTGCGCCACCAACTTGATTATTCAGCAACAAAACATGTATGAGACGCGTATGTTCAAATGGTCCGCCACTAACCAACCCATTCAACAAGCCGT